TTATGTTTATGACATAATATATTATATTATTATAAAGGCATTTTAATATAATGCCGAAATTTATTTACATAAAGTATAAAAGGCAATATTTAATGAAATATTTTAGCGTTAAAACAGGAAATTGTTAAAATCACATCAAAGCATGAAATTCATCGACCGGTAACGAGGGACGAAGCGTAATTATTAATCATAATTATATTATAACCTTTGGCATGGAAACGGGCGTTACAAAGGCATGCAAAACTGAAGGATATTTATAACAGTATATATTAGTCTTACCTTCATCGGCTCTTTGTTCGCAATATACCTCACCAATAGCGATCGCAATGCCGCAATTTTTGGATATTATTTCGCTGTCGACCATTGACACTTCAGTAATGGGACAGAATATGCAAAAGTCTTCTGATGTCCAATGATTTTCCTAGAATATAAAATATTTATAATCAATAACTTTCCTGCAATTCCTTATGAAATGTGTAAAAACTAAGGGCAGAGACAGTGAATAAAAATGGGATGCGTAACTGATGATTTTGCAGAACACGTGGCCAGAACTCACAAGCTTGCTAAGGCCCACCGCGTTTGGGCAATACATTCCTTTTGTACTCAACACACAAGAAAATAAAGGAAGTAACTGTATTATGTTAGGTACTTATAAGACAACACTATTTATGATAAATACAGAGTAAGGTCAACTAAATGTTAAAAGAGACATTACAGGTCGTATATGCGAGACGGGTTCCACACTGGTTGTCCGGACACTCTGCTTGTAGTACGGGACGACGGTTTTAAGCGCTACCACTAAGGCCCCTCGGTGAAAAGGCCCCTCGTCAGACGTAACGCTCGTATTATTAGAGCAAGCGCTTCCGTACATATGAAGAAGTGAAGGTCCGAAAGTTGGCAGAAACCCTTAGATGATCCAGAGGAAAATATTAAAACAAATATTCCTTTATAGTAAATATAATCAAAGTTTATAATAAATTATATATCTATTCGAAAATTCTGTAAATGAGATACAGAACTTGAAAAAATTTAAAAATTGTCGAGCACCGATATCTGGCGATTGTCTAGTTTATAAGACATCGATAAAAAGATTTTTAAATTGGAGACGCTATGAAACTGTTTCTATACTTGTCTAATTATTAAAGTATAAAACATATATACATTATATTGATTACCTTCAGTTATTAGGTAGTATAATATAATGATGGAATTCAATCGACATACCCAGAAAATTTATTAACAAAGAAAAATCTAACCCAAAAAATATTTTCCTAATAATAACCATTTTCTCCGTCATGAGATATTTGACCCAGCTTTAAGTGTGTGCTCGCCAGAATTTTATTAAAACACCCGTCCGCAGAGCAAACTTCGAAGCGTATAAGGTGGTTCATGTTAGGAAACATCTCCACCATTGAAATTTGTTCACAATACATTGGCTGGTTGCTTCTCTGTTGGACGGCCGTCTTCGCCTGTTTTAACATAACTTATTGAATGTATTATAATTTGTACAAAAAGTAAGAAAAGATTGTCGCTGCTGTGGGAATCGTCGAATTGATATAACAATGGATGCTACAAGCGTTCAAGCATTTGAAGCATCAAATGCTAAAAAACAATGTAGAAAAAACACGTTAAGATTTTCGTCAATGTGGTAATCAGCCGTTTAGTGGCTAAAGCGTCAGGCCGGAAGACGTGGGTTCGATTCCCACAGCGGCGACAACCTTTTTGTACTTTTTCTACAAATTTTACGTTTAATCTTAGGTGCAAAAATAATCGCTATAAAAAAATTAAATTAGTGATTATACAATACGTACTTCTCTTGAATAGTGCTTTTTGTAAATTATTAGGTAGAAAATATTTAAAACACACTAATGAATGTAATTACAGGAATACAACACAACTCATAAAGTATTTGTTGGAGTAAACTTTTAAATTCCGGTTTGACAAAGTACATCATTAAAATTACGATTTTGAAAGAATAAAACAATTATTTACTAAATGAACAAATGACAGACAAATTTTATATATTAAGTTTAAGTAGCAGATATTATACAGAGGATAAACACATGTAACGTATATAAACATATACGTTACATGTGTTTATCCTCTGTATTAGTTACCTACCCTAGTTGTGAACACTATTTGCTTCTGTTTGGACATATTTATTATTACATTAACAAAATCCTGAAATGTCTCATTTTGCAAGGTTTGGATTCTTTATTACTGCTACGCGTATTTAGGGAGAAAGGCAGCAATGAGATTAACCTACTTTACCGGTGGCCGACCTCTCAAGTTACTACGTGCACCTACGCAATCGCTGATCCATTTTGTTACTATCCCACTCTTACAACCCTCTCTAGCAAAAATCTTAGTGAGTACTTATATCGGTCGCCTTTATACTTTCAATGACGGCTATTATCTGACCAAAATCAATCAGAGCACGGTATCAAGCCAGCAAATCGAAGCTTGCTTCACGGAAATAGCCTTTGGCGCCAGCCAAATTAAACTAATTTACGTTCACTGTTGTCGAGGCCGTTTTAAGTTTTATTTTTAAGTGATACCTTCCTAGTACATGGCTGTGAATGAAACTAACATATTTCACGTGTATGTGTATATCACATGTACGTTCCAATTTGCAGATATTTTTTAAGGTTCCGTACAAAGGTTAAAACGGGACCCTATTAGTAGGACTGCTCTGCCCGTCTGCCATCAGACTGTATCACATGAACCGTGAGACAGTTGAAATTTTCACAGATGATGTATTTCTGTTGCTGCTATAACAAAAAATAGTAAAAAACAAAATAAAAAAAATATTTAATTGGGGCTCCATACAACAAACATTGCCGTTTTTATAAATAATGATACGGAACCATTAGAGGGTGAGTCCGAATCGAAAAAAGTTTATATTTACTGCCAATAATGGATTCGCACATAGAAAGTCTATATTATCTAGTTTCCATCGAAATTGCGTCCGCCGTCTAATCAAATAGAGATATTAATACCCTAACTTCAGCTGGGCGACTTTGTATATCATCTTACATAAGCCATTTTCAGTCAAACTTGTATCTTTATTGATTTAAGCGTTGCTCACATTGTCCTTATTACTTAAGTAATTTAAATGACGTGTAAGTGTCCCAAATACATTCGGTTTGTTAATGATGTAAATTCACGAACTTTATGGCCGGTTTCTGAAATACTGATCATCGTAGATGTCAACTAATCAGCTGTCCAATGGTTTTCAAATTTCATTTTATTTGCCAAAAGGACGGTTAAACTCTCTGAATTGACCAGAATGATCTTCTAATAATCAGAACGATCAATCCAAAGAGTTTAACCATCCTTTTGGCAACTAAAATGGAATTTGAAAACCATTGGACAGCTGATTAGTTGACATCTACGATGATCAGTGTTTCAGAAACCGGGCGTTACACCCGTGTTATTGAAGTCAAGTAACAAATCGGGCTATACTCAGTTTTAGTTATTATATCATTATACTGATTATTTAAATCTTAAATTTGATCTACAGTATGTGCTACTTAGCACATATTCCAAGGCTTCAAGATTCAGTTGAATTTTGAAGACTTGGGGAGTCTTCCCACAGGTATGTAATAGGTGGATAAAGAATGCGACATGGGCTAGTGATAACTTTGTACATATACTTTCGTTTAAGTTCGTCCAAGAGTTTATTTATCATTATTTTATTAAGTCCATAAAATATGTTGTGTAACCAAACGTAGAACAAAGTTTAAGGTATAAGCTATATTTTAAATTGAACATAAAATTGTGATGTGATAATACAAAAAAAAAATTACCACAAGACCACAAAAGGAGACTTTGACGAATGTTGATGGTGGCTTCCCATAGCGCTTGTCCCCATGACAGTGCATGCCGTTGGGTAGGCCGTATGCGCTGTATATGGTAATGAGGTAATTGGCACGCTGTTGTTCAGACCCGATAGGAAGAAGCAGCGTCCTAAAATGACATACGGTGGGAACCTGATTCGATAAAGTCACCGCAAATTGTAAAAAAAAATATTTAAAGATTGTAAATGTTTGAGATTTACTAATTTTAGTTACCCGTGAAACTGAGTAACGGTAAATCTTCCGGGAGTACAAATAATTAATTTCTAAGTATTGTGCCTCCACCGTAACGTGTGTGGCTTTTAATAAAATCACCTATTACATACTGACTATCAATGAAACAAAAAAGCCCTCTTTGTAATGTTAATAATGATTTTGACAGTTGAACAGTTTACTCACTCTTCTTTCTCTTCTAGAGAACTTGTGATGACGGGCAAAAATTGTAGTTCACCTCTATAAATGATCGATATATCCACTTTCAAAAACCCAACTGGGCCTGCGGCTGGGTCCCGTGGCAAACATAGCTGTGCCCATTTGTGAAAAACATGATGATCTATGGTAAAAAATGGATAATTATCAACACGTAAATAAATATATGAATAAATCACTGCTTACGCCTCAGCTTCTCATCAGAACTCAATTCATGAAGATGTAACTAGTTTCTTAAAGAAGAAAATGTTTTATGGAATTAACTAAAACGTCAATAGATTACAAAAATAAATTTTTTGTAGTTAGATCGAGGTAATTAACAGCTTAAAATATCCCACTAATGGGCAAATGCTTTCTCTGTACAGAGTTTATCAGGGCATAGTTCACCACGGAACCCCACTGCGGATTGGTGGACATCACATATTTTCGAAATTTTTATTATTTCCAAAATTTGCAAGTTTCCTCACGATTGTTTCCTTCACCGCTGAGTACGTGATAAGTCAGCAATTAAAATTAATAATTTCATTGGTGCCTGCATCAGGGATTGAAATCAAGTTGTTAGAGTAAATTGAATAAAAAAAAACAATGTGTATGAAAGGACGTTGAGATTTCCGTCTGTGTGATAATCCGTTGTTAAGCTTAGTAGTTAAAGTGTCTGGGCGTGAATCCGGAAGACGTGCGTGCCATTCGAATAACGGAATTCAGAGAAATTCATTTCAATTTATTGAGCCTCATTGGTAATAATATTAATTTCATACGTTTCTGCGACCATATATTGGCAAGATCAATGGTTGCTTCGCCGAGAAGCCGGGGTGGTGCACAGCATCTCGGCTCCATCACGGCCAGCCACAAAGACGATTGGCGTATTTCACTGATGCTCGCGTACATGTCGAACACGAAGTTCTGAAATGTTTTCAAATGTCATATTCAATATTGTTTTCTCAATACATAAATGTTTAACCTTAAAATTATTACTATTCTCGTTTTGTAACGCAAAAAGTACAAAATTTTAAAGCTAAGCTTTGCGTCTTATATGATCGTGGCAAAGGAGATGGAAATGTCTCCAGCTTCGCTCAGACTCCATCTATACATTCTGCTGTTGTGGTTTGGAAGACTATTTACGATTTAGTGTATGAATATTTAATGTAAGAAAGTACATAGTAAGATACAATATCATGCGTTGTAAATTAACACCGATATAAGGAAAAAGTATTTCAGGTCTTTCAAATATTTGTCCCTGGCTGGAATCGAAACCAATTTCGTTTAGTCTTAAGAGTTAACATTAAGCCTATAAGCCTGCAAAATGAAGACACACCTAAGTTATTATCAATTTCCAAGTAGTGTAAAATACAGATGTTCGTTAATGATATTTACTTTTTATTTAGCTACTATTATTTTGTAATACAAATTAGATACTTCTCTGTAGTATGGCTCCGGCATATTCTTTCTAACACTTGTTCTGTACTTTTTCTTATCTAGAACAATGATGACGTAGGAGTTAGCCGATTGTGGGTTGTTCCAGGCCAATTTTCGAGCTTCCAAGACGTTTACAGATATCTGTAAGAAAAAACGAAGAGTTTTCGAGATTTTGAAGGATTCTTTTCTTTACAAAAACACAGTTCAAGCAATTATTTTTCTATAACAAACTTAACATTTAACACTCTAAACTGAATTAAATGAACGGACAAGATATAAGGTTAAAAGGAAAGTAAATGCGCGTAATAAGCTGCGTTTCCAATATTGCCTTAAATGATTCCAGTAACAGTCTGACATAATTTAAAGAAATGAAACGTCACACAAAAAGTTCAATTAAAGCCGCAGAGGCCGCGTTTACATCGCAGCCTCACCGGTCCGCGGAGCGTCCATTGTATTTCGAGCAAAAAAAGGGGCCCGCGCTCCTACCAATAAGGACCTTTTATAAATAATTTATAAGAATCGGCCGGTACATAACCTGAAAATACTGCGGCGTCGCTTCCGGATTGTAGACGTTCTCAGTTCTGTACGTCGGCTGCTCGGCGAGTTTTTGCCGGCATCCCTTCTCCGGTGAGTTGTTGCGTATGCTTTTGTACATTTTATAATGAATCAGTGCGTCAGAACCGCGCCCGGTCCTTTGCAAATAAATCGAGACGAGTTTCTTTTACAACGTCATCGGGGCAGGTTGATTGCGATGAATGACAATTAGATTTTGACGGGCGCTGACGTGGCGCTTTCGATGAGTACGTTTCTCGTTCTTCCTCTTTTCTCAATTAACGTACAAACTTTGTCGTCAACCTATTTGCTAGTTTTCTTTCTGTTTTTGTGTTGTCTTTTTTAGCTTTTATTATTTGTCATCTGTCATATAATTTCTATAATTACATGGTTATTTGTCTAGTATTAATATATCCTGAACATAATTGAATTTCAAATTAGTACATATTTAGTTCAATACCTGGAATACCCTTGTAATACGATAGCACCAATGTTATTATACAAATACGAGGTAGACATGATATCAGGGCATTGTAACTGAGGCACTTTATTGAATTGCAATTGTACCAGATCTCTTTCCGTACCATACGTTCTATATCGTCTGTCACATTCATTTATATGTGGCATGTAATGTAAAGCGGAACAATTTTTAAACGCCGCGCAGTATGCATATGCGTCATTAATATTATTAAACATCATTCTATTGCAGTAATAATCGCACTCAGATTCATGTCGAAATTTTATGTTTTTAGTAATGATTTACATTTTTGCGCAAGCGTATTTTATTCTATCATCAATAGTTTTCGCAGCGCACGCGATGTAAAGAATTGTTTAGGTAATTTTTGTACACTTTTGGTTACATTATTGAAGTTTTAGTAACGTTATTTTCAAATCGCTTCAGTAGTTTCGGAGCCTATTCAATGCATACAAACTATCAAATCTTTCCTCTTACATGGTACGCGGAGTGGGCGGTGAGAGGTTTTATTTTCCTTACGGAATTTCTTAATTCGGACGCCCTCCTTCATCGATCCTCAAAGCCCGTGATAAAAGCTATGCAATAAAAAATTCATACGACGGAAATCGCGATTACTTTGCGTACCTACAATATTCATTTCAATCTAATGTTTGAATTTTAAAACTTATGCTTTTACGTAATTGTTAGAAGACACAATAATACACAGATATATGACAAACTAGGTATCAGCTATACCCGCGTCTACGTTTGCGTAGAATAGGCTAAAGATGTGACATTCAGACAGAAAGACAGATATATAAAGTTTCATTAAAATCCATTCAGTAGTATTTGCGTGAAAGAGTAACAAACCTCCATCCATACATATAAACTTGCGCCTTTATAATATTAGTAAGGATATACATTTCCTTCAAATTATTATCAACAAAGTTAAGTTAGGTTACATTTATTTATTTTCTACTAATAAGCTAGGTTCATTAGCTGTATATTTTTAAACGTCAAGAAGCCTCGTTTGAACAAGGTTAATAATGGATTAGGTTAGGTTCAAAATGAGTCACAGCTCTGACACAGACCACTCCAATTCCATGTATCTTTTAACGGGTCTTGTGGGTTCTGCCCCTTGAGTGAGTATAAAATGCGGAGCTAGAAGCTCATTTCTGTTTCGCTGAAGTAATTAACAAATAGAAGACTGAACCCGTCAGACCTAGTAGATGTCAATGGGCGCGAGATAATCACTTAACACAAGGTTAACCACCTTGCAAACTTTTGACATAAAAATTTAAAGTACAGATTAGAGAATGTGGATGGGGTTCGATTTCAGCGTCACTGCTGATTCAGACCACAAAAATAGTGTGCTATAAAGTGGATGTTTGTATTAATTGTGCCACTTATGTTCCAGATCTTAAAGATATATTGAATGTCACGATATATAAATATGCTAATGCTAAGAGGCATCGCAAACTAAACCACAGTATTGTCGGGTCTAAAATTTAAATGATAGTGAATGTGTGTTAGTAACATAATTTAGAGGGTACACACATTCTGATATATCGCTAGTAGGTGCCCAAAATTTCTACTACACGCTACATCTATAAACAGTAGATTAACAGGGTAGAAAGACAAGGGCAAAAGAACGCGCACATGACTTATGATATGAACAGATCAAATAAAGACTCACTCTTGAATGAGTGTAGAAGACAGGACAGGGACGATTGGAGACGGGAAGCGGATATTGGAGTTACTAGGTGTTCAAGGCTGTAACTAAAGAAGATGATTACTTTTAATTGTAAAAATTTGTAGAAAATGTCCAAAAAGATTGTTGCCACTGCGAGAATCGAGCCCAGGTCTTTGGCATTCGCGGCCTGACGCTTTAGCCACTAAGCTAAATGGTTGATTGCCACACCGACGAAAATCTTAACGTCTTTTGTCTACATTACTTTTTAGCATTTGAAGCAATACTTGGCGCATCCATTGTTATATCCTATCCAGCATAACCAACTAAGGCCAACTTTAAGGAAATTAATTTTTTTTTAAAGTGCTAATCTCTGCACTTATGATTAAACATTAAAATTTGTATAAAATGTACGAAAACATTGTCGCCGCTTTGGGGATCGCACCAACATGATCGGCATTCGTGGCCTGACGCTTTAGCCACTAAGCTAAACGGCTGACTGCCATATTTTTAATTGTTCATGGAAAGAATGACTTACTGCATAACTTTTAAACAAAAACATTTTATTCTAAGTTATCATTTTGTATTAAAGTCTGTAAACTCAGGGTCTTTAGTGTTGTTATTTACTGTTACGTTATGGTCTGCTGAATCTTAGCGGATTTGTCCACCCTTTCACACTTACTTAGCGCCTATACCACGAAACTAAGTGAAGAATCCAACGCGTCCAATTTCACAAAGTCATTTGTAAAGAAAAGCGTCTGTACCTACAGTTTATTGTTGCATTCGCACCTTTGTTTTATGTTAGCCTCTTCGTTTATATTTGAAAAGGACAGAGGACTGTTTAAAGGCAAAATTGTCTTAAGCATTGTCGTATGAAAAACTGTACACCGGTTTCAAGTTGCTGTTTCCAACGTAGTTTTTGTGAAGCATATTGAGGATGATTTTATTTAAAATAACATCTTCATTAGCATAACATGGTCAAGTTTTACAGCACTATGTTTTAGTATTTAATACAGATGGACAACTTGTTCGTAAATATTTTTTTAAATCAATAAATGATTAAATGCAAAGGCACACACACATGTTATTATTCGCGCATCCGCTAACAATTAATGCTTTTGTTTTATTTACACGAACAAATGCTTATATTTTAGAGAAGACATAAATAACCACTAAAGTACGTGACAGTAGTCATTATTTCAAGTTGCCTTTCAATAATTAATAATACTATCGAGACATTTTTCAATAGCGGCTTTTGTTTACGTCCAAAATAATTCCGATATAGAAACGGGGTGAGTATTAAATAACTTGGACTATTGATGTAATTTCAATAAGTCCGCTTTATCTCCTGTCTAGATCGCAAAACTAGAATATACATTCGTCTGAACGGTTGTTTTGCCCCTCATTAAAATAACTATAAAGTTTAAATGGACCGACTACGGGAATACACACGGTTCTGGATACACCGAAGATTTATCGACACTGACTCTACCGAAAGCTACCGAAAATCGCGGACCATTGGGTCTTGTTAAAATAACTTAACTAGATTTATAACGAGTTGTCAATTTTTTAATGAATTCCGTTACCACGGTAAGGATATAAACATCACGACGGTTGTGGTCCATCGATAACAGCTCCCCTATTAAAGTTTGGCATTGTGATGCTTTGGCAGAATTTTACTATATGGCTCGTTGGCTCATTATAAAAAATACATTTTTATTAACAAAATACGAAACCAATCACAAACATCTCACTTTATATTTTCTATTCGATTTTGAGGAGTTCCCAGATAGATATATCTGCCTCGATATAATGCAAAAATTATTTTCATTCATGATCAAATAATTTTTATCATAAATGACGGAGTCCTAAGGTAACAATCATAAAAAAATTGAGATGGAATGTATAGACTATTCCCATTAATTAATATTAATGTTATCTACATAAACGAAAATTGAATAGATATTCAATTTTCGTTATTATCGTACATCGAAAATGCAATAGAGACTGTAATTTTATATCCATTGCATTTTCGATATACATTTGTATTTTATTAATTATTTTAATTAATATATAATGTTCATGGCATCGTTTATGGCATTTATTATTTTATTTAACAGTTCATTGATTTTAATAATCTTATATATAAAAATGGATTGCTGTTCGTTAGTCTCGCTAAAACTCGAGAACCGCTGGGCCGATTTGGCTAATTTTGGTTTTGAAATATTTGTGGCAGTACAGGGAAGGTTTAAACGATGAGAAATTGTGGAAAAATTTCATGGAAAATCGAAATAGCATGAATTTTATTTTACAATACAAACTAATAATTTAAATGGCAAAACAACATTTGCCGGGTCTCTAGTTCATTATAAAAAAGGAGAAGGTGTGAAATGAAAAAAGCTTTCTCTATAATATGGATCATATATTAGTTCGCTTTTATTTATAAATAAATTATAACATGTCACTGCTACGTACATACGAAATCATTGAGAGTTATTACATGCTTATGCTATGACTAACATTAAGAATTAATAGTAATTCGTCTACCACGATAGTTTTCTTTATTAACTTAGAACAAGCTATTGTTTTACATTTATATTATCAATAATTACCTAAAAAAGTATATAACGTCATTTATGTATTGCTATATCAATAAATAGAAACAAAATAGATTCTTCACATGGCACAGAAAATAATTAAAGGAAATATTATGTATCTCATGATTTTTATTTCATAATTAGATAGATAATTAAAATGACATAGCTGATTATACTTCTATTGGATTTATTTAAATTAAATGAAACCACGAATTTTATAAAACTTTCCAGAAAAAGAAATCCGAATTATTCTCTTTCCTTCGGTTTCGTAAAGGTGAATTTTTTAATGGGTGTTTTGGAATTTTAACATTTTTGTACATGGATAGCACAAACTAAATTTTGCCAGGTAATAATTATGAATATGTTCGACCCGGGCTTCCTCGTAAAGATAAAATTTATGATAATTGGTAATATACAAAGTGTAGAAGCAGATGATAGTTGCAGCTACATTTATTTCACAAACATTATACAAATACGCCAAAAAATTTTAATTAAGATATTTATGTATAATATATTACTAATTTACACCAGTCGCCATGATGACGGATGGTCTATTCATAGCTAAATGGTGACATCGACGTCTATCACGGTTAAATTGTCTTGATGCGATCATGCTTATAAAGATTTTTATAAAGTAAACACCAAACGACTATTCCTATTCACTACAACTGACTAGTATCACTTTATTTACATAAAGCCCTTAAATAAGTAGAACCTTAATTTACAACGAATGTTAAATGTGAAGTTGTCTACGACGATAATCTTTTGAAATTTGATATCCATACAAGGATGAGGTCACTATATAATATAATAAAAGTAACAGCCTATACATGTCCCACTGCTGGGAAAAGGCCTCCTCTATACAGAGGGTATCAGGGCATAGTCCACACACGCGGCCCCACTGCGGATTGGCGGACTTCACATATCTTCGAAATATATATTTTTTTTTGTTATTATGCAGGTTTCACCCTCACGATGTTTTCCTTTACCTCGGAGCACGTGATGAGTCAGCACCACAGTTAAAAATTATATTTACAGATTATATATAATATAATCTGTAAATATAATGTGTAAATATAATTTTTAACTGTGGTAACGCGCAGCAGCATCTGCTGTTACACGAATGGGCCGGCACTTTAGAAACCCGAGGGTGTTCGGGGCTCCTCTCTTTTAAAAGTTGGTCATCCCATCCGTACCCAACTGATATGATGTTCAGAGGCTGCGGTCATCACTTACCATAAATTAAAAAAACCGCTAGGCTGCTAGTCAAGTTTAAAAAAATAGAATAGAACACAGAATAAAAATCCAACGTGAGATTTTAATAATGCTGATGAAATACGCTTCTATATATTATTGCTTTTAAGCCCTTTCAGTGGAATGTCAGTACAGTTCGCTGAAACTTATCGGATGTGGAGTATGCATGTCGTCCATAGGTTGTAGAGGTTCTCCAAGCATCATGGCACCAGGAACGCTGTTGGACGTCACCGTGCCCGGCACCAAAGACGCACCACCCGAGTGGCCAGGGTTACCGTTTGGTGTCATCGGTCCATGTTGGTTCGTCTCCTGTCTCATGATGTTGCGCCGCCATTTCGCGCGTGCGTTTTGGAACCAGACCTGAAGGACAAAAAGGTGAGTACCGAATATTTAACAGACTGTCGTCTTTCTTTAGCACTTCATAAATGGAAACAGGCATGGAGGACGTTAAGAAATATAAGAAGTTTCTGGATACGGTGGGCCGCCATTCAACTATTTACGATTAACTGAACACACTGACCTGCAGTACTCTCTTTGATAGTCCAGTCTTCTGAGCTAGTTGCTTCAAATCTTTGGCATCAGGATTTTGATTAATCGCAAAATAAGACTTCATTGTTCGCAATTGGTGATGTTTGAAACTGGTACGCATTCGCTTGGTGCGTTGTGTATGACTTGAAACACTTCCCGGAGAAGCAACAGACGAGTCGTAAGCCAATGACTCCATCGATGATGATAAATCTCCTCTATGGAGTATATCTAAAACAAATTTCAAATATGAAATTGTACAAATGTACAACATAAAACCTTTTACTAAATAAATATTTAGCAAATAAATGTCTTTTAAATCTCAACATTCGCATCGCTTTAATAAACGTTTTAAATAAACGGGAGAAATATATGTAGCAGACTAAAATTCTATACTGTTATAAAATGTTCTGTTCATTTCATGTCTTAAAAATAATTATCCCTATAATCCCTACTTATAATATTACTAGCTGCTGCCCGTGACTACGTCTGCGTAGAATAGGCTGAAGGCGTAACATTCAGACAGATATACATAAAAATATGTATATAAATTATATATAGCCTATGTGTTATTCTGTTGTATAAGCTATATTATTATGATGAAACTTTGTACACATATTCTTAGAGGTATTAAAAAGGACATAGGACCCTTTTTATTAAAAAAAAATATATTTATTTAAAAGATTCAACGCGGGTGGAGCCGCAGGCGAAAAGCTAGTATTTTTATAAAAACGTAATAACCATTTCATATTATGTTGTATGATTAATTCCAGTATCGGGCATAACATAGATTGTAAATAATTGTTGCAATTCATCGTTCATTTCTTATTAATAGTCATTTCTTAGTTCATTTCTTATTAGTAGTCCAGCAACAAAATGGACCGATACGGAGAGTATCGTGAAATAAAGGTGAAAAAAGTGACTTTATGAATTGGCATAGTCTATGTGGTGTATAAAACAACATCGATCACGATATATTCAAATATAATTATACTCGTAGGTTCTTATATTCTAATATTATTTACTTAAAAAATGAATTAAGAAGTGGAGTAATCTTTGTAATACGCTAGATAAAACGCTATTTGCCGCATTACGTTGTTTTGCTGTAGAAATCCGTCATCGATTTAAAAGAAATATTTACTCTATAAAAATAAATAATTTGGAACAGCTATAGCTTAAATAATGTGTAAACCGCAAAGTTTTAATAAATAAATATTTTAAATCTACTGCTGCTTTGGGTGTTTGGAAATCCAATAACATTGGTTTCAACATTAAAAATAATACTCAAACGAAGTTATCTCATTTTGACTTCGACCGTTTATATATTAAAGTGTAAAATGATCGGATTTACCTTTAATTTTATCTGTTATAAAGTTATTAATTTTTTGTGATGACTTCATTTAATTTAAAATTATTAAACTTTTAGGAAACGACGATTATAGTTAGTAATTCTGTTCAGTGTACATATATTTCTTACCGTGGATAAGTGTGGCAAGCGGTGTAGTTGTCAATATAATAAGCAAAGTCGCGGGCATCAAGTTCATTTCAACTTAATATTTACAAGTAAAATGTATCATCTTTGGTAACCAAAATTAATATTGGGCAAAGTTTATGGTAAACGTTCTTCCAAAAGGAATAACATTTAGTTCGGCTGTTAACTCAATTGTTGTGTCTGTCGGAGGTCCCTATAAACTGTGTAAAGGGGTACAAAATTTAAGCTAAACGGTGAGCTGTAGCGTATCGCCCCCGAAGCCACATCCTCAACTTTTTCCGTGGCCATTGTTGGTGCCATTGTCGGTGCCAGGAAGTGCGAAGATTAGCGGCTGAGTAACTGTGGACCAACTGCGGTTTAAGTTTCACAAATAGCGCTTATCCAACCACTTAGTTTTTGCCACCAGGCCTGACGACCGACTTCCGACAAATTTCACAAACTGTTAGTTTTATTAGTTATTTCGTGTTCACATTGATACTTGTAGGAACATCGGTAAACGGGAACCTCAGCAAGGTAGGGAGTTGGACACACTCTGCTTGAATAAACTTTCTTTCAATATATATATATATATATATATATATATTATATTCGGTAGCAATACATCGCATTTCCAACCGGGAAAAAAGTAACAGATAATTAAAGGAAACAAGCCGGCCGCCGTCACTTACAGGACCGTCAAAACAAATAACAAGCAATGATGAATGTACCGATAATTGGATGTATTCCGTTGTGAGTGATACCTGTTAATGGACGGTTCGCCCGTGTAATAAGGGAACAATGGTTAAAATTTATTAATTTCTATCCCTTAACACAGTTGCGTGGTTAGCAGACCTCAACGTCGCTGAAGCGCGGACGAAGCTTATTAATAATTTTATAATCGTATGCCGGGGGTCAGTAATTTAAATGCAGTTTGTGAAATATTAAAAATCGTTATTTTAAGGAAAGACGATTTATAATGTGGATTCGATATTATCTCTATATATAAAAATGAATCGCTGAATGTGTTGCTAAGCGCAAATCTCGAGAACAGCTGAACCGATTTCGCTAATTCTATTTTTATAATATTCCTTCAAGTACAAGGACGGTTCTTACGAACAGAAAAAAATTAAAAATTGACTGAAAATGAAAAAAGATTCGTAATAATACTTAAGCCAATTTGAACTTTAATACCATACCATAAAGTTTAAGAGTTAGTGGAGGGGTTCCGGGAAGGCAAAACGTTAGTGATGTTAGTATCGTATAAATATTGTCACTATGTATGCTTAGATCTTTAAATCTACGCAACGGATCTGGATGCGGTTTTTTTAGATAGAGTGGTTAAAGAGAAAGGTTTATATATGTACAATACATTGCACCCGTGCGAAGCCGGGGCGGGTCGCTAGTTGAAATATAAATGGAAATAATTTTAGAAGCGACAGAGAGTTTAATTATTTAATTAATGAACTTATTAGCTTTCGTGATAAATTAATGCTTTTAGTTTATAATGTATCTGAATACTTTGATAAAGTAAGGAACGGTGAACTTATCGGAATAAAATTTGGTATTATCTACGTACGACGTTTACTGTTAATATAAGACGCTATAAGAAACAAAATTGAAACGGTGAAACGTTAACTTTTGTAATAAAAGTTTTATAATAAGAAATACTTTTGTGCACGTTGACCTAATACCGGAGTACAAAGCCACTTCCTTTATTCCCCCTGCGGATATAAAATCAATACAAAGAGACATGGGCTGGCTTCATCTTCTCTAAGGATGCTTTACGTGTACCGAAATCGTTAGTTGAGATAAAATCAATAGCTCCGAATAGACCTATCCATCCATACCAGTTTAAATAATGTTGCCAGCAGTTTGAAGCGTAATTTACTGTAGGTATAATTTCGATGTAAATGCCGACCTCATCATAAAATTAACCAGTTTGGTTTCACCTGAAATTGTTTCAATTTTATTGACAGAATTAACATGTTACCGACTTTACGTAAACAGCTTTAGAGAAACAGTAATAAAGCATCGCGGTCGTAAAGGCTTCGATATTAACGATTGGTTGTAAAAAAAATAAAGGAGCAACGCGGGGATACGTGTTTTATTGCATTGATAGGCGCCGAGTCCGTTCGGTATAATAAATAAAAGAAAGCGTTTTGAATATAACATAAAAGTTAGACGTTATAAGGTCAATGCCACAATATTTTTCTTCAATAACACATTTTTCTTCAATATTATTGGGTTACGGATTTTTGAAAGACTAACCGTTTATTAGTATCCGAAACATGGCGCACGAAGCGTTCACATTACAAAACAATTTGCTTATTTTTTTAAAAATTAAATATAAGATCGCTTTGGTAAGTGCGCGCTTATTTAATAAAATGGAGCAATACAAGAATAAATCAAAAGCTGTTCTAAACGGTTGCTATAAATTACATTGACTGCATGGCTAATTAAGTGCAAAGTTCTGCTCGGGGCTCACCAATCGGACACCCAATTTGTAAGTAATTGAATTCCAATGTAATCTAAGTTGATTTTTATTTATATTCAGGATAGACTGAAATAAATGGAACTGTTTATGCATTGCATAAAATTATACTCGAACCTCTGATTAAATTATTTAAAAACTAACATAATTCACTAAACGTATTAAAGGAAAAAACCATGTGTATAAAATCTAATTACAGTAAAAAAAAGTGTATATACAAATATACGTGTTAATACACCGATTATTTTATACCTTATAGGTTTACAACCATTTAATAGTTATAGCATAGCTGTTCATATGGCAATAATGAAAGAATTTGTGGGAAAATGACAGGAGTACGCATTAGAGTTGTAAGTGAGAACAGGAGTTGCTCCTTGAAGACCTCAAAATGTTCACTGGATACGTTGTCAGAGACTCCTCGACGTGTCGGCCCTACGCCCCTTTGAACCACCGCCCGACCGGAATGCCCGTTATCTCCAGCCACTATCTGACGACATCCGTTCAATAAAGTTGTTAGTAGCAACACTTAGCAATAAATAAGCGGCAGAGAACCTGGAATACGCGCAATCCCGATGCTTAATATCACCATTTCCCTTATCTGATCGAACTTTGTGGTTGTTCCACATGAGGGCACGGTAAGCCTAGCCACAAATGACTCTTTAGCATTGACCAGATATATTTTTTAAACAAATACAGCCTCAATATGGCTCTAAATTCGTCAAGTGCTCATTCTAAAGCTAAGCTCAAAAATATATCGTTTGTGGAATTAAATTAATCAGAAAGAAAAAAATATGAGTGAAAAAGAAAAAAAAAATAGCTTTACGTATATATAGAAAGGTGGCGGAATTACCTACGCGTCATATTGCACCGAAGATTCCGTTTAACATTCGTTTTCTTTTAGCTACAAGTGGTTCTTATGTTATAAAATATTATTACAGAATTAAAATAAAAATACTGACAGGATTTGGAAAATGCAATTAAATAAAAAAAGACGGTAAAAATATAAAACACAATTTATTTTACGCTTCGGTATGCTTGGCAATTATTTTTCCCGCACAAAATGACAGCAAAAAAACTTTTATGAAGCCATGTTTTTACTGACGTGATTTGAACTATGCTGTCGGTTAGTGAACAAAAGAAAAATACGGAAATATACCTACTATACTACTACCTACTAGTACACTTGAAAATTAATTTGGTAATAAAGCAGATGTTTAGATGGCTAATTTTAATTTTCTATTATATACGGCTATTTTTAATAATACTAAATGAACAATCTTTGACAGCATGAAATCTTATCATTCAGAAAAAAATAAAATAAAGAAAAGCTTCAGTATAAAAGAGTTCACCGTAACGGAATAAGAAAATGAAGAAATAATTTTAATGCTGATTCAAGTTTTACGGGCCGCCTGTTTTGAATAAAAATTTAATTGAATCGCTCTTTACGTCTATCCGAATGTTTTAAGTGAAGTCGTGTTAAACTTCACATAAGATTATTATGTAAAATCAAGTAAAAGGAAACTTAAATCATATTCAGCTTTATTCAGAGTTCAAACATCAACAGCTAAGAATAATATTTTAATATTTACCCTATGCGGCATGGAAATGGTTACGCGTCAACCAAAATGAAAACTTTGAAATACTGGTAAATATTGCAAGTTGAATGATAACAACACACGTCTTCACGTATGTATTGCGTTTACCGGACAAAGCAAAGGAAATAGCCCACGTGGCAAAGCGCGCGATTCAATGTACAAAAAAAAACGAATTGGCACCGTTTAAATGTCTCGAAGCGCCTATTTGAATTGTACTAATCGATTGCATGTGTTAACCTCAATTATTGGTGTCGCATGGATTTACACCTGCGGCGCGCGCAACGGCGATACGCGCGCGTTACGAGGGCCGGGCACCCGCTAATGCAGGTGTGTAAAAGTCGGCCATGAGGAATTGCTTCAAACGCTAAACGGCCTTTTTCACCGTAGCCCCGACGGACCCCGATGCGTGCGAGATAAGCGTCGGTATGTCATTTCGAACACCACGCGATGCCCCCCCCCCCCCCCCCTCCCCCGCCGTTCCTCTCTTATATTAAACTTTTATTAATTAAAAGTGAATTCCCCATCGTGGACACTGCGGCGGCCGTTCCGCGTGAAGAACCCGCCATACATCTGCCTTTCGTGTGGTAATGTTGCTCTAATTAATAGATTGCTACGTAGACCGGGGGAGTACCATTAAACGCTGTGCCGGAGTTACTGTCAGCTAGCGGCTTATTTGTACAAAAGCTAAACTTCCCCAAAAATTATTTGCCGGCAAAAAAAATCTTGCAATATACGCATATACGATATACGCAGTTTTGATTTGTTTGCGAAGAAAGATCTACTTTGCATAAAGATAATATCACCAAATGTCAGAAGACACCTAGAATGTGAACACAATTTTTTTTCAGTATCGAATAAATATCAATTTAAATCATTATAACATAAAAAGTCTGATTTGTGTTTGTCTACTATTGTGTTTCTTATTTTATTTTATTAATCGACTTCAAACTGAGGAGGTTCTCAATTCGATTGATATATTTTTTTCGATGTATGTACACCGATTACGCTGAGATTTATGATTCGATTTACGTGATTCTTTTTTACTTTGATGCCGAACAGGTGCCAGTTGGTACCATAAAAATTTAACATAGTTTGGCCCAGTAGGTTTAATTTTATAATCATGTATACAAGATTTTATTTAGTTACACCTGTCCCCGATGTTTGTAATCAAATCTTGCAAATTAAATTTGACCAACTTCCCGGTTACCGGTTGAGCTGAAATTTTGTAAAGATATGTAAATCGCGTGACAATGCGATACTACAATTAGATGATGGAACTGGAAGGTGGCCAAAGGGACTTCGTAATGAAACGACACAACCTCATCGAGTTTGGACACATTTGAATCGTCTTGACGAGTAGTTTGTCTTTCAATGGTAGCCAGGGTCTGATGATGGATGTGGTAGGTGGTCATAAGAACTCAGTAAAGAAACGACGCAACCCCATTGATTCTAGGCTCGTTTAATTCGTTTTGAAGAGTAATTTGGTGCTAGATGGTCAGAGTCTAATGGTCGAGCTGGAAGGTGGCCAAAGGCTCATTAAGTAAGCGACACAACCGCTTCGAGTTTGATTCGTCTTAATTGGTGGACCTTTAGTGGTGGTGGTCTGATGGACATGAATATGTGATCCTATCTTTGATCCATGGTCTTTATTGAGATGGATTAGATGGATGACCCAATGTCAAGGTGAGCACGTCCTGAGTGCTGAATGGTATGAGAGCCTTGTGCCTCCGGATATAGGATACCCCTATAATGGACCTCTGGAGAGATGGATTGTTTATTTCCTAAGCTCGTGAGAACAACATGTCCAAAAAAATAATACAAAATAAAAATAAAATTAAGAGAAAAAAATTAAAAACAAACATTTATTAAGTTCTTAATAATAAAAAGAAGTAAAATTTTAAAACTAATAATTTAAAACTGGTAAGTAAAATATCATTATACATGTACCTACATTGCAATATTCGAAACGAAGACGAAAACTTTATTTTATATTACATTATATTATTATATTATTCCCAATTATTCCCCCTTAATTCCCATTTCAAATTATACCCAATACAAATTATATAATATCGATGTTTATCAATGTTTATGTTTCTTATATTGGAATACTAGCTGCCCGGACAGACTTCGTTCTTTTTTTATATATAGTATTAAAACCAATCGTGGACCTTAAGGAACATATAAACAATAAATTAGCCGAATTGGTCCAGCCATTCTTGAGTTAGGCGCTTAACAAGATTCTTTTTTATTTATTAAGAAGATTGATGTCTCGGTGCTATATCCGAATTATGTAGCAACGTACGCACTTGGTTACTTAAATAAATTGTCTGAGAATGCACCTTTATTTCTGCTAGATTTTTATGTTTAATTATTCTTATTAAGTTATTTTTTTTCCTTTTAGTTTTTGAAGACGGTTTTTTTAAACGTAGTTTTTTTCTCGACATATTTGTATTATCTGCTTAGCTTGCCGAATATTTTTGGACGAACTAAGACTTATGTTTGTTGCGAAATTGTCATTTAGTCTTACTATTGATTAAAACTTTACATTCCGTAAATGTTGGGACACCTATATAAGAGCAGATTGAAAAAAAGTAAAATAGAAGTAGTGCGAAGAGAGCAGCATAAAAAATTGATTTTTTTCGATATACGATAAGGCACGTAACGTTCGAAGAGCTCTTAGTTCCCATTATCACCGTCACGCGCAGCGCTCGAGTGGCGTTGTTGTGCCAACAAAGAATCTCACTTGGCGGGAAGCCACTTAGTCGTATTCAGTATCTGTCAGAGCTTGAGGCTACATGCCAGAAAAAGAATTATAGGGAAATATCGTGATAAAATAACCAACTAAAACTTCATATACACTTTACTTTACTTATTATTTATTACGTAGCCAAAAATTATTTGTAACAAAAATGTTGGAATACGAAATAACTCTCGTCACTTACTAACTAAAATAAACCAAACTATAATATTAAAGGAGGATAATGGTTTGGTTAAAATTCGATGTCAATAGCGTCATTCTGGTTAACATTTGACATATACTAGAAGGCCTTAGACGCCAATGTTGAGCGATTTAAAACCCTTTTGGTGACTGGAAGTACAACGATATGTCGTCCCTGGTCCATTCAGTCCAGCGCCATGATTAATCGGGTCGAGAAGTCACACAACCTGAATCCAACTCAATGAGTGCCTCGCATTTCGACGCTATAAAGAATAATCCAGACGACCGACCCCGGCAGGAGACCCAACGCTCCCGTTTAAACGCCTCCCGCTCTGCCTTACGAGCCCCCGTTGCGCGAGAAAGGGACGAGAGCAATTTCGACAATACGTCGTCTATTCATTAGTCGTGATTACGGTCGGGCCGGGATGAATTGACATCTGGGATGCCCGCGCGGGGAACGCGTCGCGTTTTCCCTTCTGAGGTTTCTGCTAAATTTGAAGCGACCATCACGTTCGATGTGTCTAATTCAGCACACATAGCCATCTCTATGCGGAGTTCTTGGTATACTACTAGATACGCTACGAGTAATTTGTAGTACGGTAGTAAACGCAAAAAACGAGGGAAGCCGTTCCAAGCTTACGTGGGTGTAAAAAAATTCGAGGCGAAAAGATCGTAATAAATGAATGGGAATTTTCTGGGAATCAAAGGCGCCAATCATTCGAGTGAACCTTAATTGAGAGACGAAATTAAAATATGTACACTGAGAATCTTATTTAAATATTGGTATTCGCGTGGGCCGAAATGTTAAATTTCGCTTTATGCGCTGCGCAAGCCTTTTCAGTAAAATAGCTCACCGAGTGCTGTGCTCGCCATTCGCATGGTTTGGACTTGCATGTCTTCAGGAGACCCTTGTACCAGCTTTCTCTTCCTGGGGCGACCTTTATGACTTGACCCGCCATTGTAGAAATGTGATGGGGAACCACCACCGTTGTGCATCTCTTGGCATCTGTTTAATAAAGATATTGCTATTTATACGAATATTTAGCACCACACAAATGGTTATTTTCCTTGTACTTTTACTGATTAAATCAATGAGTAATGTACAAAATTCATATCTATTGAAAAATCGATTTAACAATTTCCAATGATATTGGAAAAAGAAAAAAAAAAAATGGACAAGTGCGAGTCGAACGCGCGCACCAAGGGTTCCGTACCATTAAATCGTGTCTGTTGTTATAGAGGCAACAGAAATACATCATCTGTGAAAATTTCAACTGTCTAACTCTTACTGTTCATGAGATGTCTTGTGAAAGACGGAAAGACAGACAAGGAGACAGACAGGGAGACAGACAGATAGACAGACCAACAGACAGACAGTGGAGTTTTAGTAATCGGCTCGCGTTTTACGCCCGTACACCAACTTGAGAGTTAATTTGAATTCGTGGGTTTTGTCAGTAGTATAAATCGTTTACAAATTGAGCATGTCTCTAAACGGAAAGTTTATATTAGAAGAATGATAAATTTACATTTACATGCTTGAAATCAAACGAATATTTTACCGTCAACCGATCAAAAAAACGTTCCCATATGTTCTTGCATACTTAAAGTCTTGCGTGTCTAAATACGTACGTGCATACGAACAAAAACGTATAGAAATATCGCATCCATTTAGCGCGTAATATTTTGGTAGTATGGATTCGATAACTCGCGTCAAAAGATCAGTAGGTTCATTTGAAGTAAAATCTTTTTTTCCCCACATTTGAGGGAAACAAAAGCCAAACAAACGCACTAATTCTTGTACGATAAAGGGAGTCAAGATGTTCACCTGCTGTTAAGTGACTAACATTCGGCAATAGCGTTCGAATATTTACGGTATAAAATTTGATGTAGCCCTAGTTAAATGATATAAGATTATGTAAATGACATGAGGTTTCTATTCAATTCTATTTCTTGCATTTCGACTGCTGAGTAAAGTTGAGATAGGAAACTAGAGCACATTCTTCAAAAAAAGGAAATCCAACCCCACGAGAGCCACAGGTGATAGCAGCCCGCAGATTTGCCAACTTTACACGTGGAAGATCGACTTACCGGCCCGACAAGTTTACCTCAACTAAGGACACCTGTTCTCCAAAAAGTTAATCTCGCTTTACCTATAGACGCTGCTCATATCATCTTCGCAGTACTCGTCCATGCAAGCACTGTCGTAGTGCGGTCGGCAGTAGACCAATCCGTCCCTCATCCCGAAGACGTCGCCTTTGGACAGTAGAGAACCGCAGGCGAAGCAAGTGAAGCAGGTGAGGTGGTAAACCATATCCCTCGCTCGCATCACCAGCTCGTTAGCGGTGATGCCGTTACCGCATCTAGCGCAGCGCTTGACGCAGAACATTCTGGAACAAATCCCTTTAATTGGTGCAAAGGAAAGCGATGGATGAATACCGACGTCTGTATCAATGCAATTTAGTTTTAAGAACGGTTGATCATCGCTACAATCGTTTAAAAGTGTTTATGTTTTTAATAATTTGGCGTTGAATTTGAACTTCTAACTAGTTGCGTTTATTCAGTTATTTTGGTACCAATATGAACATTTTAATATAATTAGGAAATATATTTTAGCTAAATTAAACTGAATCCTAATGGTCGCAAATAATTAGAATTTAGAAAATATTGTGGAAGTTATAGTAATATCTGGGGCGTTTCCCTTTAATATGACAACCCTAAAAATTTCACGGTCATAACAACTCCGTGACGATACTGCAATTATGCCATATGTTTCATTGAACCAACCCCATTGATGAAAAATATTTATTTCCGATATGATTCCCTCTTGTTTTCCCAAGGATATTAAACTTATTACAAATTTTTTTTATGTTATTCTGAAAGCTGAAATAAATGTATAATTTTATACAGCCCAATTTTAATATTATTATATGATTAATGTGTATTAATAACAAATATTATCAATAAATTTAATAGTTAAATATATTCTACAAAAGAAGAATTATTAAAAAATGAAATAGCGCAGGGAATTAAGCAACTGTTGAGAGGAAAGCAAAAGCAAATTACGCTTCTGCTTTGCTTCGTATTCGGTGAAATGGGGCAGATGCATAATGTATTTAGTGCGTTCGACAGGTGTGGGAGTCGAGCAAGTGTATTGGATGGTGAGTGACTGTCCGAGCCCGCCCGCCGTAATTACACCGACATGTTGACACTTGACATGTCCGCTGACTGACTTTCCGTGCAATTATCGAGAAATATTTTGGACGTTTACCTACCTAGCCGTTTATGTTAAGGTAACGAGCTGAAAAGACAAATATGAATAACACGCTAGTAGCTCTCAAACATGTGACTGAGCACGCGAAGCGTCTTGAATAAATTAATGTACAATGAACAATTCGCAAAAATCATATTCGCCAGCAGAAATTCGCAGTGGAGGTAAATATTCTCTATTGATGCTTGCTAAACTGAAACCAATCCAAAAATAATTCTTAAAGTCGGTTTAAATGGTGGAACTCTCCGGTGATAAGCATAAAATATTGCGACCGAATTGAGAATCTTTTTTTTTCTTGAGGTCGGTAGAAAAATTATTCTACACGTTTTTCCATCTTTAGGACCGACTCGAGTAATTAAATTTAGAATCGTAGGTGTAGAATCCCCAGACTGTATACTGACCTATAGTAGTCCTCCTTGCAGTAAATGTTGCCATCGCGGGAAAAACAAGTCAGCTCCGTGTCAAGTGGCAATCGGCACTCGCAGCATCTCAAACAAGAGCCGTGCCACTGCCGATCCACAGCCAGCAAGTAATATCTAAAGAAAGTCATTATATTTTTTTTCTGTATGATATATCACACAGCACACTAAATCCGCACGGTTCTATACCACTAATATTTGTAAAATAGTTTTGAAAAGAACCTTGGGTTAATAGGCTGGCTATGGTCTTAAAAGTTTCCATCAAAGTTACGCGGAATTGTCGTTCTGGACTTCAATGCTACGACCGAATCAATCATGCAACTCCGGTTTAGGCAAAAAGTACCAAGCACGCTCATAATAAGTAATAACAGCAGTCATCCACGCGATGGCTGCTGTACTTTTTATTGTATAATGCCTGTAAGATAAATATTAAAGTTTCCATTTCTATGCAGGGCGCCCGCTCATATCGGTTTTATTGCTGCATTTCAATTACTTCTGATGTCATTTAGTGCATTACTGCGCCGTGTCTACATGGATTATGTCCGTGGAGTACACCTCACCTGTCCTGTATCCTCCCCCCGCAGCCAGCACATTCATCTGGGGTAGATGGCGACCCTTCCAAACTCTCCCGCTCCTTAAGCATGCTTCTCCGCTCCGTCCTGCCTCCCGAACTGGTCTTTGTATCTTAAATAACAGGGCTCAGTTCACCCTGTGCGAATAGTTCCCCGGTGCTGTTGGAGGCAGACATAACTTGACTGATCTGTTTTTGCGTGATAGAATCAAAGCGGGATTCCTTTTGTTTTGTAATAGCAAAACCTGTTGATCGATGAGAAACACAAGTTATAGTTATGTTCATTGAAGCAACTATATCCTGTTATTATCGCATGTAAGCATGGGCATTCGATGAAGAAAACAGAATTTATTGAGAAAATGTTACAGATTAACATTTTCGCAAAGAAACGTAGTGTCCTGAACTTATATACAATGTTCGCCATAGAAGTACTTATACTTTGCCAACTTTCTCGATTGACAATTCAGTTCAATTTGATTTTTCACAATTCGTAATTCATAAATTAGATTAATCCTCGAAATGTGATTAAATACAGTTCATTGTGTTATTCTTTTTCTACAGTTCATTGTTTGCTTTCCATGGTAAAATATCACATTGAAAAGCATGATTAAGGTAATTAATACAATAAAAATAAGACAATAGTAACGTTTAAAATGACGTAGTACAAAATATAACCAGTAAAGATGTTGTGAATGTTTAAAATGTTTTACGTTTCATTAACACGGTTTAACATAAAATATTGATATTTAAACGCTTTAAGTTTAATTTTAAGTTAATTTAAAAATATAAATCCATTTTAAGGTTAATTGCGGAGTTTTGTAATAAATACCGCGTGTACCGTGTTAAAAATATTAATATTAATTTGTATGTGTATGTTTATAAATGCTTTGTATGTTTTTGTATTTAAATTGTATTGCAATAGCCGTCTTTTAAATTATTGATGAAACTCTCCGAGCTCTAGAATGTTTCATGTTTTCTAAAATGTAAATCTTTGAAATCAAAAATGAAATCGTCATGTCTTTAAACAGAGTTTCTTTTGTATCTATGGTTTTATATTCAGTTAAAGCTACAAGTATCGTCTAAAAATTCTCGAGGCTATTTTGAAATTCAAAGCTAAAAAGTCAATTCTACTTTAATTCTAATTCCACTTTATTTTTCAAAATATGCAGCTTGTATCGAAAAAAAAACTTTTTATCATGGTCTGATAGAAAAAGCTTAAAGAATATGTTTTAAGAACATTGGATACTGGCGATTTTCGTGATATTTTATTTTATTAACTAATGACTCAGGGCGGTTTTTTTTTATGGGAAAACAGCAGCAAACGAGCAGGAGGCTCACCTGATGGTAAGTGATCACCGCCGCCCATGGACATCTGCAACACCCGAGGGCTTACAAATGCGTTGCCGGCCTTTTAGGAATGAGTTGGTTTAGTGAATGGTTGATGAATGAATGGTTTCTTTAATTATTGACGTCGGCATTTATAATAGCCTTCAGTGGCCGAAATGCGTAAAATCTACCTTACACAAGTTTTAGTGTGCCCAAAAATTTGGATTACTGTTTAGAATTTCATTTATTCAATAAACAACCTTGAAATGAGAAAAATGAACTTGAAATGCATTAATAATATTCACATACAACTAAACTAATTCCGAGCATAGTACGTATTATTTGGGCATAAGAGTAAAACTCACTGTTTTCGAAAGCAGCGCAAAGAAATCGACCATTCAGATCGAAATTGAATAAATTGTCCGTTGAGATGCGCTTCACATAAAATATGCTCTTAACATAAAATATCTTCCAATGCGAAAGGCAGCGATAAAATGAGCGCACATTTCTTGTTTTCAATATAAAACCCTATCAAGGAGTTCCTTAGTATATCATTTATTATTCCTCGTGGGGGCTGGCACAAATCAGCATCCGTATACAATGGACGGATATATATACCCTATATAGGCTACCATGGAAGGCTGTATCAGGTCTCTTTTATAGGGAGAGACAATGGAGCGGCTTGGGCTCGTTTTATTTCCTTCTGAAAGCCGACTGTCGCATAAATTTTATAATGTAAATACCTGTGGTCACTGACTCGACACGAATGTTTAACGAAACTCGAAGTAGCCTGAGAGGTTTATATTTATTATTACACGTGAAAACCACCCAGCTTTTAATTTTAAGAGACTTTCGATCAGCATTTTTTTAAAAGTTCGTTTAATATACAATTATGTAGATTATAATATGTGAACAAGCTACATCGGAAGGAACAATAGTTTTCCTTTACATAAAGGACATGGCGAACTCCCATACAAATATTTTTTGAACCATTTTTTTGCGTCTTAAGACGAAAAATATATAACAATATATAATTTAATGTTCTGAATATATCATACATATTGTTATTAAAGGAAGTCTGGAATTAAAGATATTTCGTGCTAATGTTTTTGAGGTTATGTCGTATACTATTGCTATGAGTTTAAACAATAAAAAAAACAATTTATAATAAAATAGCCTGCACTCTTTTTTTTTTTTTTTTTTTTTTTTTGGGCCCGATGAGCCACTGTTGGCCTTAGGGGCCTTTACAGATCCGACGGAGTTGAGGTGGCCTTGCGCACGAGGCGCCTAGCCTGAACCTCTGCGTACTATTATTACGCGTTATGGTGACTAAGCTCGAGGGCTCCCGGGGGAGCCTCGGCTCGGGCCGTCACGCTATTATTATCACCGGTTTGGGAGGCCGCCAAGCTCTTAGGGCGCTTTGGCGGGTGCTCCATGGAGTGATCAGGCTCAAGGGTCCCCGAGAGGGGACCTCGGCTTGGGCTGTCACTCAGCACGCGTTTAGCATTCCGATTCGAGGGTGCCCGAGAGGGCCGGACCTCGGCTCGATCGGTAGCTATTATCTGACTGGGACTGTGCCTGCACTCTTTGTAAAAAAGGTTATAATAAACCAAATGACGCCATAGAAGTTACCAGCACCTACAGGGTAGCATATTACATCTCTAATATTCTATTCAAATCGGTCTGATAGAGCATTAATAATTCGAAACGGCCTTTATATTTTATTGTGATGAAGTTAAGAACGTTTAATAAATTAGGTAACAGATTTTCCTTAACGATACTATCAATATATTTCGAATTTTACAGCGTTTAAATAACTTAGAAATAAGCCTTGATATGAAAAATAGCTAGAAAAATGAATCCGTTTTTTATATTTACGTAGGGCTCATAGTTAAGGGCTCTTATATTCGACGAAAAACTTTTTCAATACCATTCATAATATTCGATATTCCATAAATAAAAAAAGGCTTTTGAATTATTTATTCCTCATTATCTCTTATGAGAACACTACCAAGAAATCCTGCTGGTCCTAAAATACTTTGGTAATTCTGGCCCGTCAAAGGTACTGAACTATAGTAATTGTATGAACACAACTTTTAAATTGCTACTTTCCAATTTAATTTTTGAATTAATGTATAATTACTCATGAATTAAATAGGTTAGTACCTAGAACAACATAAAACACATTCATGAAAATTTTTATTTCACAAAAAGATTGTTTTGAGTATTGCTCAATGATTCTCTCCATTTTAGATACAATTCCGCATTTAACACGAGTCATATTTTCTTGCATTATCAAAGCATTGTTATCGTACAACTTAAGATTTACATTAAAATAATATAAGCATCAATATCGCAAAGGAGTCTCTCACAAATCACAACACAATATCCTCCGAAAACATAAAATCGTCCACTTCGTAACTGTACTCTGCGGTAATACTAGATCCAGTAAATTCACTAATATTAACTCAGCACAATTTAAACAAAAAAAAAAACTGGGCAACGAATAAAATAAAAGCAAAACAACAATCTGACATTTTTAGTTTTTAGTGAGTTTGTAGCCTTATCAAAATCACAAATCCTATAATTGGCAAAATATTGTTAAAAATCGAGTTCATAGGCTTGGTTCATACTGAAAAATTTAGAAAAATAAATAATGCTTATTATTTATTCGTTTAATTTAAAATATACACAATATATTTGTTATGAGCTAGGTCCAGTTTATAGTTCACAATTGGTAAAATCTAGCTCCTAAAATTGTATTTAGAGGAATTAAACATCTTTATGTTTCAATTTTATATTCGCAACGTCGTCAGTCAGACTGACAGGTGTTTATTTTTTCCATTCAACGGTATTACTACACTTGTTTAAGAAATAATTGCAAATCCATCTTATTTTAATCCATAAATGGTAACTTGATTCTTGGCACGGAAATGTGACTTTATATAGAAGTATTTATGATATGAAAATATGTTTTCAAAATATTTTAACGCTAAATATAATATAATAATAGACTAGACATACTATTTAACTCTGGACTAGATTTTATAATATGGTAACATTAATTGCACGGCAAACAAGCCTTATAAATCCACTTCTGATATTTTTAATCAATTGAATTTTCAAAAATAAATCAATGTTTCCCTAAAAAATGTACAGGCATTTAGTATAATTTGAATTAAATTGAGTATAAGAAGAAATTATAATATTTATATCTGTAACTATGCTATTTGTAGACGCTTGAGATTTCTGTCAACAATTTTTTCGCCAATGTCCTTTGTGTGTATAATTTCATTGATAATTTTTTTTTCATTGATAATTGTTAAAAAATTACATAAACTTAAAAATATGTTCAAAGATTTTTGATGTGTAAGTAAATTTAAAAACGCTTTGCCAAACTGTTTTTGAAATTGGCGTGACCAATCTTTAGAAAATTATTTCGTCACACTGTCTAAACAATAGCCCTCAGCATAAGCTAACACGATGGCTAGATCTTAAATGGGTGAGAAAACCACGAACTAAAACAATAGCGAAAGATAGGTAGATAGATAGTTGAGGAATAGGTAAGCTGACCTCTGTCCTTCCAAAAGAACAAGAAAGTTGTGGAGTCACTATTACGGTCTACAACGCGCGGTGATATTTTTTTAAAGTGAGAACAACCGAGCTGGCGATTCACCTGTTGTTAAGTGACAACCACCGCCCATTGACAATTGCAACGCCTTTTAATAATGTGGACCCCGGTTACCCGACTCATCACACGAAACGCCGAAGTATAACAAGCACTACCACTTCACGCCGAACTTATGTGAGGTCGTGTTAATAGCTCCCCGGTACGTACCGACCCCACTGAGTATTGACAGACTCTACTTATCTTCAAAGTAGTTTTTTTTTTGTTATTATTTAAAAAAATATGCTGGTTTCAGTTTCAGTTCCTCACGATGTTTTCCTTCACTGCCAATCACGATAAACCAGCATTTAAAATTAGCAATTACGTTGGTGCAGGCACCGGAGATCGAACTCAGGTTGCTCGAGTATATGTAATTAAAAGCTCGGACAATGAGGTATTACGGCTACCAAGACATTTTTACAAGATTGGTCACAAGATAAATAAATTAAACCTTTACCCCAAGAATGTAAACTAATAAGTAATACATTTGTATCTGTTTCATTTAGATACCATTGTCGCATTCTTTTGTCATACTTATGTTATAGTGTAATATACGAGTCCCGTATCAATGCTAATAGCTATGAACACTAAGCTAAACGGTGGATAATCACACCGTGATATCAGCAAAAAAATATTTGCTCTTCACATTTTCACTTTTGTCATAAGTGCAGAGACTCCAAAAATAAAAAAAAACAGAATGAATAAAAAAAATAGAATGGAATACAGGCGATAGATTAATTAGGAACTGTGCTTTCAAAATTTAATAAAGGATGACATTATAAAAAATTATATTTTATGCAACATATTTCTATTACATTTTACTATTAAGACGATCCCCTTTTATTCATTTTTAACATAATAATGATTTTATGGCTGATTTCCGGGGAAAAACTCTAGCGATGAACTAAAACTATTATTAAGTCTGAGAGACGCGTTTGCACATGTTTTTCGCGGTAAGGACTCGTGACTTTGCCCACCCCAGTAACAAGCGCTGGTATATTGCGCATGTTAAGAGTAGTCGCGATTTTTATGAAAATAATAATGAAATGGAAATGATTATTTTCGACGGAAAACATTTGTATTATTTGTTTATACGTTACGTTTCGTATTAGAAAAATGGTGCCAATATACATATATGTATTTTTTAAAATAATATATAAAACATTTTATTCTACGTTTGTAGAAAAAACGACTCTAACAATATAAAGAATTAACACATTCAAAGTCTTATTATAACGTATTATCTAGTTAAATAAAACTTATTTAAATATCACAAAATAAATATCGTGTATTCAGTTGTCAGTTCTCACGCAAACATACGTAGATGTCTAGCTAACTTTAGGGTGTCAGTTTTTCGTGACGGTGTGCGTGCGCATCTTAAAAATTTATCCTCATCATTTTTCCCTCACGCACCAAAAGAAGTATAGCGTCAAAATGTAGGGTTAAAGTTTTAAAAACAATTTACGAATATTTTGATACTACAATGCGAGGATTTGAACCTGCGCCCTCCCAGCTAGGCACGCGGCGCTCTAGACAAGAGTTAAACGGCATAACTTTATAGCAGCAAAATCTCAGCGTATTCATGTAATTTATTTTTATTTCATTTTAAAAGGTCCTTGGCGTCATCTAGTCTTTTACAGGCTTTTTCATATGACATTTTAAAATGATATATGTATCTTAATACTTGAGCCATCAAAAGAGAAGTTTTCCTCAAATTTATTAAAAAATCCTTTAAATTTATAATGTTATTTAGAAAACGTAAAGGTTTTTGTGACAAAAAGGTATATTAAATTGAATAAAAAGTATATGTAGCTATATATGAAAGACTTTGTCCTGTGCACACTGTCTTAAATCCCAAAATTCCAAACTTTTTGAATAAGTTTGTGAATCTAATCCACCTGTAGACACACAAAAAATCATTAAAATCGATCCAGCCGAGTTAATAGGAGGAGTTCAGTGACATACACACGTACAGAAGAACTATAATATATATAAATATATAAATGTGAACTAAAAACTACTGCAATAAGGTTTCACATCAAATATAAAAGAGGTACTAGTAAAAAAAAAAACTTTACCACAATGCAGGAGAAGGCTTTAAAACAAACAGACGTATATACAATTGGAACACAAAAACACGAGCGTCACTTTCGACACACCAAGAATGAAAAAAGACCACAACAATAAAGGGTTATTGCAGCAACAAGTTTATTTGCAGCGTTAAGTTAAATGACCAATCAATTGGCTATTACACAGAGCAGTTATACAAAGCTTTCAGATAAGAAGTGGTAATGGGAGCGACAATCTTTTCTTGCAATTTTATGTACGTTGAAAGCGTGTTGTTTTTTATGTTTTCTTTGCCGCACTTGTTCCAACTGAAACCCTACTTCTTGCAATAGCGTAAATTATGAACAGAGTATGTGTCTAATCGAGTCAGGGCTTTGGAGGCTCTTTTGTGAAGAAGGTGCGAAAGAAATAGACGGATCATCATGGTGATTGCCAAGCACTAAAGATAAGGGCCGACGAAACACAAAAAAGCAGATGCGCTGAGAACTTTAAAACAGAAGATTTCTGTTGCCTCATCAGAAACGACGCAGAAGAGCCTATAATACTTTAGCCCCGGTCCACCTCGGCCACTGATCTTCTGGAAGACGTGGTATTTACACGAATAAGCATCGCCTTTTCTTGAGTAGCTCTACTACTTAAAAAATAATATCAAACGAAATTTTCAACCCTTCATTTAAATATTTAAAATTTCTTATTAAACTTAAAATTATTGTCTTCTTAAAACATCTACTATTGTACATGTCATATGTCATAAAAACAAATTTAATGATGGAAACAAAAAGGACAATTTTACTGACGTCTAAAAGAGAGATACATAGTCATGTCGTAGTTAACCATACGCTCTACCATAGTAAAAAGGAATAATATTCCTTTCCTTTACTATGATAGAGCGAAACATATGCAAATATGTCTGCTGTTTGAAATCTAATTTTTAATATTAGGTACATATTTAATATCAGTACAGAACTTCTTACTTAAAGAATGTCAATTCAATTCTAAAAAGCTGCCTAGGAGAGATTCTTAGATGGCAATGCTTACGATCCAATGCGACGTTCCGAGAAAGCCATTTTTCCTTGAACGTAAGTATCTTGAGGTGTATCATTTTTCTAAATAAAATTTCTTTCATTTATTTTTTGTATTAAAGAATGGATGAATGGATGGATGAGTTCTTTTAGTATCTATTACATAAAAGTATTAAAAAAATGTAAGCACTTCGTGAAGACAATTTCGGTTGTTTTCGTGTAACAGAAGAAATACTTGATTAGAAACAAAGTAACAAATGTAAGTAAAAACTCTAAAATGTTGAAAATTGTTGCAATATTTCATTATGTTGATATATAAATTTAATGAAATAACACTTTCCATATTAAACAACCTTCCTTCTCTCCTGTAACACCACAACGAACGACCTTTTGCCGTTTGCATCCACTTCGCTCACTTGGAATATCAATGAATCCTAATTTTTTTCACACTTTAACAGCGTGTTTACTTGTTCGGATGTCATATATTGCACTGAATAAATGTTGAAGAAGTTTCTATTCTCCTTAATTGACTGTCGGCCATAGGATGTAGAAAAACATTTTCAATCTATTTCCAGGAACACAAGCCAAATCAAGCGCAGAGCAATATTATTGCAGCAACTTTGTTGCACTGTTTTGAAGAATATTTATGTTGTTAGAGATTTAGGAATTTTGATTCACAGTCAACTTTTACTTAACTAGCATGTCGAGTCTATTATTAATAAGGCGTATAAAATGTACGGTTTTGTAATGAGATCATCGACGGAGTTTAAGAGGCCACAAACATACCTTTATCTCTTTAACACTCTTATACGCTCCCAACTTGAATATAATGTACCAATTTGGAACCCTTTTTATTACAAATATGTAAACGAGATTGAGAAGGTCCAACTAAAGTTTCTTCGCTCCATTCAATACAGATGTAAGAAATCCAATTTATCATGTTCACAATTATTAAACAACTATAAATTGCTATCACTTGAGGCAAGACGTGCATATTTAGAAGCTAATGTGTTATATAGTCTTGTGCACAACAATTTTGATTCCATTGATTTAACAAATAAGATTTGCTATGTAGTTCCTCGTACTACCCATAAACGAACAGTTCGCCCGGGCACTCTCTTTGCCATCAATAATTGCCGAACAAACTCAGGACTACGATGTCCTATACAACGTATGCTTAAATCATATAACTTCAATTTTGTAGATATTGATATATTTGAATGCTCTAAATCTAAGTATAGGAACCAAATAGTTTCCAAATTAAATATGTTAAGCTATACTTTTTAATAATCATGTATTTTTGTATTTTTGTATTCTTGAAGTGTTCCTTTTTTATCTTTGTGCTATTTATTATTATTATTATTTTTATTTTTGTAACGTATCTAGTAAAAAAGTAAAGTAAAGTAACAGCTTATACATGTCCCATTGCTTGGCAAAGGCCTCCTCTATACAGAGGGTATCAGGGCATAGTCCACCACGCGGCCCCACTGCGGATTGGCGGACTTCACATATCTCCGAAATATATATATTTTTTTGTTATTATTTCGAAAATATGCAGGTTTCCTCACGATGTTTTCCTTCACCGTGGAGCACGTGATAAGTCAGCACTTAAAGTTAAAAACTTCATTGCTGCCGGCACCGGGGATCGAACTCAGGTTGCTCGAGTATATTGAATTAAAAGCGAGCGCCCGGACACTGAGCTATCACGGCTCTGTACGACACGTATCTAGTAGCTTCCATTAAAATAATATTGTATGTTTAATACGTGGATAATGTAGGGGGCTGCAATATTATTACTACATCAACGCAACAGATCCGTTCATATCATATATGGTAGCTGTTTGTTATCCCCAATAAAATAAAATAAAATAAAACTTTATTTAACGGTCCATTTAATGTGCATTCAAAAGAAAATGATTTTTCTCTTCATTGCAAGATAAAAATTGTCAATGTAATACAATATATTTTCCGAAAGGGAGCTGTGGAGTTAGTCGATATTTATATACACGTTAAACTTTCAGCGTTTGCACGCAGAGAAGCCGACAACCTTGAGCGTTTGATGGTTAGGGGGAAAATAGAGGGTAAAAGACCTAGAGGCCGTAATCCTAACCAGTGAGCGGATCAGATTTCTGAAAACCTAGAAATCCCCATAAGCATCACACTCCATCATGCGACGGACCGAAACTGATGGCGCCAGCTTGTTGACCAATTAGATATGAGTCACGATCGTCAGCAGTGAGGGAACGACTGAGAAGAGAAGAGAAGAGAAGAGAAGAAGATAGGTTCAGCGAGAATAAGTGCGAACTATGGTTTTATTGGCTGTCGGTAATCACGTAACGGGAATACCGTTCAATTTGAATGCGAACAAGCGGCCGTTCAAATGATTGCACTGCTATTGACCTACAAACGGGGGTTATAGATTTTGCGGGTGGTATATATGTCTGTGACGGCGTTAGTACTGTTCCGGGTAGGGAATTCACGAATTGTAATTTACTGTGCTGCCTGGTTGCACGGATTTCACATCGATGTATTCACACACGTGTTTCAATACTAAAACTCAATCGGAGTGTAATAAATAATTGACTATCTAAAGCCTAGTATAATTGTAACTTATTCGAAAAACTCATATTATACTTATATAATCAGTTTATTTCTGTTGGTCTAAATCAGATTTTTTTAATGCTAAAAGCTGGCAAACCAGCAGGCGGTTCACTTAATGTTAAGTGGTTACCGCCGTCCACGAACATCACACGAAACGCGAAAGAATAGTACTTCCACTTCACGCCGGTCTTCTGAGAGGCCGTGGTACTTTCCTGGATAAGCCTGCTCATTAATACAACAGCCGAAGCTACTGCATGGCCCTACCACTGATGAATAAATATGCGCAGATAATTTCATACTAGGTTTTTGAGTCTTTGTGGGTTTTTTATCCTACATGATATCCAGATGAGATAAATAACCTAAATCCTAATAAAACGATAACTCTGAATCGAATATAATGAAGATAACGATAAATCCGATGGGCTTGTTTTTAATATCTGTGCTATTTTAATAACAAAACCTGAGGAAGACGTAAATTATCATTAACCATATCACCGTGGAGAATTTGTTTTTCTCTGGACTCCCGTTACGAAATTTTGTACACCCTAGATAGATTACGACGAAAATTTGGAACTATGTCTAAGAGTAGTAGAAGTAACCAACAACCTAGAACCTAGTTTTAGAAACATTTTACGCAGTGCAGTTTCTTCTTTTGAGTCATCTAAAACCGGAATAAACAGGAAAACCTATATCACAGTTGCCTTAAAACAATTTTTTGTTTACGAGTATAAGATAATTTCAAACACTACAGTAGCAATACAAAAAATGTTATAGAAACGCAAATAATTATTCAAATAATATCAATTTTAGTGACAAATAATACATGAAATTGGAGGCGAAAACTCCTTAATTTCGAAACTATTGTTAATTTTTAAGGATGATGATAATTTGGTTTGCTTATGTTTGACTACATTAAATTTATCAAGGTTTTGATATTATTTTACGCACTTTTAGTTTTTGCCGTAAGAAGTTTCATGATTATCTGAAATCGTTTTTTTTTTATTCTTATAATACTGACATAAGCATTGGACATATAACAATTAAAACGGTTGTGGAGTAAGCCTGATCATATATGTAATCACACTACAACAATTACCATTCAATCAACAATTGCGTTTGTTGACCACCAACTGTAAATATTTTTACGATGGCCGTTTTTTGATAAGCCCGGACTAACAGATCGGGAATTTTTACGACGACTGGACTTGTTTGTGGGGATTGATAATGAATGGGAGCAAATGTGGAAACAAATCTCTACGCACTGTTGCTCTTTTAAAAAGTTATGTATTCCGTTGGTACCGCATATCTTTAAACTTCCTAGATTATATGATTACTCCACATTTTAAACATTTGTCAATTTTAATGTGAACGTTATGAAATTTACAATAATTTATCTGTTTAGAAACTGACGATATTTCAATTATTATGAGAGTTTATGCATCAGCATCATTTATGCACCCTAAATATTCTTCTATAAATCCAAATTATGAATCGATCAAATAATCAAATAAATCGAAATATCAAATTATTCCTAATAAATTATTTTTGTCTAAATAAAGTTTTTAAATGGATAGTCTTTTCTTTTATCTTTACTATTAAACATTATAATCTACGAAATACATTTCACAACAAGAAAAAGAAACAAGCGAATCACACAACAACTTGTTGTTTTATTTATAATCTCTCTGTTTTAATAATAAAGCAATATTTGTTGGTTTCGGTGTTGTTGGAGCCATTAAATATTTACGATAATATTAAAAAGCGGCATTAGTTTCTAAGTATCGATAATTTTAACGACTACACTATTTCCGCACAAATAAACTCTGACTGAAACTGTTATCGACGATAAACAAACACGGTTTAATTGGATAGCCTTTAAACTCTTTCTATGATAACGTATCCCGTTGAAATCGATATCGTATACATTGACATAGTTACAAATTTAATTAATAATAATTACGAGCTGTAAAATATGTCATATGAAGAATATAGTAAAAATAACTGTAAAAGTACACAATTACAAATACACAATACCTGCATCGAATGTCAAAATTTAGTAGTTTTGAGCATTTTATGTAATCCAATTTTCGCAACAAAAAAAAGACGATGTATTAATACGAATTAAAGAATAACAAAAAAACATTTCCGCTGCTCACATTTTTGTAGGGAAGAGAAACATTTTTCGATTCGAAATATAAATTCACACTCACCGAATCCGCCACACTCGTTTTAAAATTATTGAACATATAACGCTCAATCGGTAGGATCGGCACGTAGATTGTAAAATATGTGGCACAAATACACTGACGGTCCTGAACAATTATTTTTTCCGGTTCGTCCTATTAAAGGAATGGCCTACCGGACCCGGCGATTGCAGGCGGGCGAAATCACACCGGGAATTGCAACTGCATCGCAATCGCGCTACGAATGAGTAAAACAAGGCCGCCCTCAACCCCTTTGGGCGGAATCCCTCCGCAGCCTCCCCACGCCACACCCTTCGAAATATGAACCCGCAGCATTTGTTGCCAAGTAAGCCCGCCGATAGTAAAAGGGCAGGGAACTCCACGCGTATAACTACACAGAGCCACTGGTGAAACTGGGGAGAAGGAAGTCTTTTGAGATAAATTTTCCCGCGACTTTGATTCGCCGCCGCCGCGACGGAGTTAAGGAATTATCGACTCAATGCTTTACACGTGAGGTCGAATATAGTCTTGTATAATCAGTATACGAATTTTATTTCATACAACACTGCCTGGATTGAAAGTTAGCCTATTACTGTTTCGACAAAGCTTTTGATCAAGCCACGTCCGTCAATTAGTACAGGTGATGTTTTCAGTCCCTTTTAAAAGCATGATTTAGAACCACATTTGAGTAACTTGTGGCACATTCTATCAACATTATGCTAACAAAAAGTCACGTCTTCATCATAGCGTATAATTATGCAGGCAAACAGGTATGTACAAAACGTTAGTTGCTTAAAATATTCAAACATAAAAGGAATTTTGCAACCTCCGAGAATATAAGCTCAACTACGATCTGAGTTATCAAAAGTGAAGAAATGGCAAAAAAATAAAATAACAAAGTAGTATCAGGATTGTTCGTTAACTATAAATAAAAAATTAAAATAATCGCTTTCGTCAAATGCTAACACCGTGTTTAATTAAGACGATGTTTTGAAAAAAAAAACCTGTAATCCATCACAAATAGAATCTCGTGGTTAAAAAGTTATTTTTGAATCCCGTTAAACAATAAAATTAAGATGTATCTATCACGATTGCTCTGACAAAATTAATTTCGGAAAATAAGTTAGCGCAGAGGTAAATGTTAAATAAATCATTTTACGCAACATTGTGGCGCTCTAGCTTTTGTGTGAATAACTGAACCAATTTGCGTAGCAACCCTTGCGAAATAATTACTGGCATACACGTGAGTCCGAAATTGCGTTATAGGATAGTAGTTTCGTTGCGTTAACTAACCGTTTACGCTTCAAATTGGCACAAACAATATAAAACCATCATCATTACACCGGGTACTATTATCTTTGTTGTGCTATAGTATTGTTTGTTTCGAAACAAAACTTTGTGCACTGTGTCAGATTTTAATGTCACTGGACCTAATACTACTGGTCCGTTGATTCTCAACCCTTAATGAGTAGGTAGATTAGTAACCTCTTTATTTTCATCGGCAACAGGTATTGCCTAACTACTAGGTGCAGTGGGCGATCCATTATTGATTATTCGTGCTTTATTTATATTGTTCGAACAAAAGTTCAAATAATATGATTAAATATGTTCATAGAACGTTATAGTTATTTATAATAAAAATACACAAAGTACTTTTGATAAAAACATTTCGGAGGCGTAAAGGATGTAACACCAACTTGCGATATTTACAAAATTAAATATAAGCATGCCGTATTTCAAATACAAAAAAATCAAATAAAAGCAAGCTAGTTTTAAAGGTCTTCAAAGAAATAAGTAGTCGCAGCTAACGTGCGAAAGTCTTAGAGAATGTATCTCACTATCCTTAGAACAAATATAAAAAATGTATAAAAATATAAACCACAACTAATTTAGCTGTTCTAATATTCCGTCCTTGGAATTCTAATATACTGTCCTTGGCAAACATTAAAATCTTTTTCAAAAGTATTGTACAAAAGTTGGCAATTATTTAACAATGATTTTAATTAAAACATAAATATCATACCTACATTAAAACAATATTAATAATTAAAAAAAATTGCGGTTAGATAAATCCATATTCACGCAGTTAACTCGTGTTCGTCTAATACACGCTTCTAAACGCGAAGTCAGTCCCAGACCAAGTTAATAATAAAATTTCCTAAATATATTAGTCGTAATAGATATTCTTTGGATGTTGCCAATTTTCACCATTATAATGCACGGAATAAGCAGATGTCTAATTTTATCGGTAAGATATCAAATAATAACTGCAGCATAAATTATAATTGTAAAACAGCATTTAAAAATAAATTCAATTAAAAGAGCGCACAGAAACACTCGAGTGTAGATAATAATTTAGATTGATTGTCAAAATTAAAACCTTGAAATATTTACAAGCTTACAATCTTATTACTCCGCGTATTTCTCGTGATCTGACCTTCGCATATTTTAAAACTTCACGAGTTGCGCTGCCTTACGCGACTAGTTCGTTCATTCATACAATTCATTCAGTCGAGTGATGTGCTACGAGCTCATTAAGTGTTGGGTTAGCGTGTTCCAATGAATGTCTAACATAATTAGACTGTTAAGGGACATGCTCACTGAGGTGCCGTACATTGTAATTAACAATCCAATAAGTACACTGTAATTACATATATCCAGTACCCAGCACAATATACCATTGGAATATAAGCGAAAATGCACCGTGTGTCCGAGGAGTGAGATTTGTAAGTTGCATCAATCATGCAATTACCTACTTAGCATGCGTTTGATTAGATACGATAATTGCCTGGTGCACATACACATGGACACATTCTATATTCGGCTAACGCTATCATCGGACAAACATTTGTAAACAGAATAGACCATTGTAAACAAAACGTGGATAATCCACAGTACTACTGTTAATTGTCATTTATAGTTGACAATATATTTAGTTAGTTATTTCTTAATTTAAAGAACAGAAAATAATGTAAAAAAATCATAATATATGTGTAAATATTTATATATGTTTACTAATAAGAAGTTTTATAATTTTAATTTTTACAAAAAAAAAACACGTTAAACGCGTGTTAAAACGTTTGAAACAATTATGAATACTAAAGACACATATGATTTTTTTCATACTTTTTACTATCTATGCCTGGATTAAATATTTATACGGAATGTTACAAAACGTTACATTTTAAATAGGATGGCATTAAGCATCAGCTCTAACTCACATCGACGTGGTATATTACAAATGATTGACTGAAGTGACTACAAAAACATTTAGGGCAAGTTAAATAATTTTTTTTTTAATTATTTTCGTTAAAAAAACATATTTTTATATACATAGTGCCGCATTCGTAATTCCCATTCAAAAAGGGTACAACACGTAAACAACATACGCTTCACGAGTCTCACAAATACCCGAACACAGTCAGGTGAGGTCTCATACCGCCCTCACCATATACGGGTAGTAAAAATATCGTGATACAATTTACCTCCTATACCGTAGCGCAAAGTGGCAACGTCGCGTCGCGTGGCGGTAAGATTCGCCGCCGAACAGTTACAATACGCATTCAACTGTTCGAAATTTGAACGCAGTACTGCTCGGGCCAGGCTGACATCTGTGGGGGCGACGATGCTGCGTTGCCACGCCTCCATCTCTGCACTTACCAATCCAACAGCTGAGTCCATCGAACACGGCTTGAAATTCAAACCGTTAGCCAGTGTTTTTGTCTCACTCACCGCGAGAGAGTCGACTCTATAAAAAACGAGATGACTTGATTACACCGGTTCGGCTCTATTTCTTATTCAAATACAATGCAGCTGTTGGAAAACGTTTTAAATGCTCGTTTCTGCTGTATTACTTTGAGTCTATTTATGAGCGTTCTTTAGGTCCATATTACTAGGAACGATATTGCTGCAAAATTTTAGTTTTCGGCGGGATTTTCATACGTATTCAAAAGTAAATACATCGACTTCAAACAGCGGTTACCAATGGATTATCTAAAAACTAATAATTTTGTTTATCCAAACTTTGGAATTAAATAAAGTTTTAAAAATTTTGTTGCTTAGTTTGAGTACTTGATTTTTATAGGTGTCTTAGAACAACATTTCAGAAATGTGGAATTAATAATATGATAGAAAATAAATTATTCTAGTGTCTGTACTGTACCAGTAGTAGTAGTACCAGTATAGGAGTAGTCATACACCCGTGTTAACTGTACCTGTAAAGGGATACGTAACAGTAAGTTTACTATTATTTTTTTTTCTTTGGTTGGTTTTACTTTTGTTGCGTTGAATGTTAAGAGTAAATTAATTTTTATAGCAAAAATATATTTTTCGAAAAGTTTTGCGAAAGTAAAAAACAGGATAATATCCAATATTATATATTTCGTAATGATATGTTATTCAAATATGATAAAATGAATTTAGAGGGCCCTTGATCTTTTGCACTGCAAAAAAAATTATAATGAGGAAAATAGCTCAAAATTACATTAAATTTTGAATTAGAATAATTCAGTATGAGTAATATTGAGAAAACGAAAATCAATTATGCAAGATTTCACTACACACAGGTAATTTTCAATTTTTTTCGCGTTTCACTTATGTGTTCGTTCTATGATGCGCAAAACTTACTAACGGCGGTTTTTTTTAATTAATACTAATAACGAATAATTTGCAATGCAGACAACTTATTTTAACTTTCAAGTTTTAAATCTTTTGTCTTTTTAATTTTTTATTGTATATCAAAATAGGCGACCGCCCCAATCAGTAAGTCTTAGGTGCCGTCACCTACAGACTCCTACCGCTAGGTACGTTTCGTCGCAAATGGCGTAGACCACCACATGTCCTCGATTTCCCTAACGATGAGACTATCGACGTCGACAGGATAAAACAACTACGCAAACACTCTAGAACACACCGCTATTGCCGGCGAGTGCGGCAAACTTATACTAGGTTCCGCCACGTACCAGGCAGGTTTTCCCCCGTTAATGATAGAAGCGTTTCTGGAGTTTCCTCCACCACTTCTCCTGAAACATCAATGCTTTCCGAAGTGGTAGTAATGATAGATCCAGAAATTCTTCCAGTCTTAGCATAGCTACCAATCGAGCCGAGGTCCGGCCGTCTCGTGCCCCCTCGAATCGGAATGCTAAACGGGTATTGGGTGACCGAGCCGAGGTCCCCGCTCAGGGGCCCTTTGGCCTAGTCACCCCGTGGAGCGTCCGCCAAAGCGCCCTAGGAACTTGGCGGGCTCCCAAACCGATAATGAGAATAATAGCGTGACGACCTGAGCCGAGGCTCCCGAGGGAGCCCTTGAGCCTAGTCACCATA